GCGCTAGGCGCTCCTTATTTACTACACTATGGACGCAAACTGCGACTTCGCGGCCGTCATCGTCGCAACCGCGTTAGGCTTGCACTGTGGACGCACGCTAACAGTAAATCACCATTCTAGATATTATATTTTTCGAAAACTGTAGTTAAAAATTAGTTAAGTAAGTAATAAAAACACGCTCGCACAAACCGCATGTATTCTATCAGACTCAGTGAAGTGCGCTCGCACAAGGTTGGTCCTTTCCCAACTGTAAGGTCTTAAAAGTGTGGTAGTAGTTGGACTGTGACCTAGCGGTAGATAGCAGTAGCTGTACCACACAACTAATTATACATTGAGAATATCGTTATAGGCGATATTCCATAGCATCATTTGCTGGGAACTGGATTGTAAATAGTTTCAGCATGCAAGCAGCTTTGGACTGAAAATATTGTACGTGACACTTCTGTCGCCGATTTAGATTTTTCGACTGATCTCGAAAATTCATTTGATATTATGATTGATTTATGGATAAAGTAATAAATTTGATGTAGGTACTTAATATGTATAACGATTTTTCTGTAGTTCGCTTCATTATCTTTGTTTTTGCTCGTAATCACAACACAAATTGGGATTTAGTGATTTTTTTCAATGTTATCACCATAGAATACTATGATACATACATAATAGAACGGGGGAGTGGGCGGAGCCCGTGTAGCCACAAAAATGTCACAATATCTCAATTCACACGTATAAATGTTAACACTAGATGTATTTTGACGTTACAATCGTTTCCAAATTTCGCATGCAAATTATTAAGAAAATGACAAATTGCATAATATTTACAAATAAATATGTATTAAAATTTTAATGATTTTTTAACGATGATCTTGATCATTAATCAAAAATCTAAAATGTGTAAATTTAGTCGGTCAACACAGCTTATTGGGTTTGGAGTAGTGATAATCCGACGTAATTGGTTGTATCTGTGCCCCCGGCGATGCGGAACCTCGTACAAAGTAAGATTGACCGTCATTCTATTGTTTATTATAGTATTCTATGCTTATCACGACGGCGGGCAAAGTGATACTAAGATTTTTACGATTTTTAGTAAGAAGTTCGCTGAAATTTGTTGATGCGATGCGCTCCACACCCACTCGGCGCATCTCATTCTTTTCTACATACGAGGGTACAACGTTTTTTGATGAAAGTGCATTTTCCTATGCTGTGCCGATTTCCTATTGAAAGTATAATATCTAATTTTACAACAATGTTAGAATTTAACCTATTTCAATAGACTGTCTATTGAAATAGGCACAACAGCAGAAACACTTTAAATAATCAACAACACTATTTTACTAATTACTATTGTAAATATTTCACCTTAAGCATTAATTTAAAGGAGTGGTTGGAGACACGATCTTATAGAACACCTGTGATTGTATAAGATATGATAGGAATTATGGTATATATTGATTTTTTTTTTATAGGATAGGGTGACAAACGAGCACACAGTCCACCTGATGGTAAGTGGTTGCTGCGGCCCATAGACATCTACATCTATCTTCCATTACAAATCAAAATGCAGATGCGTTGTCACCCGTGAGGACTGAGATGGAATGCCTCATTTCCAGTAAAAAGGGTCTCCGGTTCTCTACACTCACCATACGAAATACAGCAGCATTAAGCTACTATTTCACGCTGGTATTCTGTGAGAGCGTGGTCCTTCCCCGGTCAAGCCGACCCATTCGTGCTACAACTATACTACTAATATAATTGCAGCATGGCTCTACCACGTAAAAAATAAGATAAGAACTAAAATATTAAGTTTAAATTTCTAGTAACTTTATTCGAATTTCAATTGTTTGCGATGTATTGAAATATTCTTTTTAACTAATTTCAGCTAAATGAAACAAGCACAGTTTATTCAACATACGTCTATGGAGCATCGCTTATTTTTTCTTTTCCACTCAATGTCATGAATGATGAAACAAAACCATCAACGTTAATAGAATATTTATATTTTAGTATATTTATGATATTTTTCTATGTACTAAAAACATTTATAATTTTTCCGAAATTGGTTGCCGAAGTATTGTTAAGATTCCGACATATTTTTTCATTTGATCCAAAAGTGAGAATAATTGTAGCTGAAACAAAGAGAAGGAATCCTTCACCAAAAGCACATATTGACGTTAAAAATTTTTACGCTTTAGTATGGAAGCAACATAGAGGTATTACTCGTATTCCTCAAATGATTTTAAAAGCACCAAGATATTTGAGAATTGATATTAAGCAAGACCTAGTTTGGCCTGTTTTTCACCATAGCCCTACTTTAAGGAAAACATCTAACCCATATCAAAGATGGTTATGTAACCGTATACATCTGGATTACAAATTACCCGGTTCAAGATTTTTTGTCGGTTTACAGTGTGAAACACACTTATATTATATAAAGTCTGGAATTATTGAGATGATTTCCAACGATGATGGTATAACACCTATTATATCAGTTACCAGTGGAACCATTTTTGGTGATATCAGTTTTTTTCTACCACCGTTGGAGCGGAAAGTTATGGTGCGCTGTCTTAGTTATTGCGAAGTCTTTTATATAAATCGTGCAGATATTCTTAAGTCTCTGCATAAATTTCCCGAAGACCGTAAAGTCATTTTACAACGTGTTAAAGACAAGATAAAGCATGCTCGTACACTATACACATGTAAAAACAATATAAGAGGCTTGGACAGAGCTGAAGACGAAGGGATTGCTTGGATTAAGAGAAAATGGTGGGAGATATCGAACACTATTTCTAATTTTAAAATTAAGCAAGGACAGAAAAATGAAGCAAATTTTGGATTGACAGAAGAAGAAGCAGTTTATCATTGCGCTAAGTATATTGGACAGTTAGTACTTTGTACGGATACGCAGTTGAAAAGGAATCCATTGTTTGCCAGTGTCGATTTTCCTTTTATTTTGGTGCCAAACTCCAATTTTAGTATGGTGTGGCACAAAATTGTAATGGTCACAGTTTCACTTGTTTTGATTCTTTATCCACCTAATATAACTAGAGCAGATGTACCGATATGGTTTTACTTCTTTCAGTTATGGGCCGATTTCATATATATGTCGGATTTATGTGTATCCCTCTCAACTGCTACCGAAAGTCACGCAACAATTCGTGTAAACTTTGCCACAGTAATGCTTGTGCGTTTTAAAAGCGCACGGTTCTTCTTTGATGTGTTATCTACTATATGGTTTGAGCGTCTAGTGACACTTCTTGGATATACTGAATATTATTATCTTGTACAATTTAATCGGCTCATAAAAGTACACATTCTGTTTTCTAAATGGAGCATTGGAAGAAATATCTATATATGTCTGTTTTTCAATGTATGCTTGATTTATTTTATATTTGTTTATGTTTCGAGTTATTTAGTGTTTGCATTAATTCAAATATTTCCCGAATTAAATTTACTTTACTTTTTTGGAGAACGATTCTGCAAATCAGATAATGCTCAAAAGACGTGTACTTATAAAGACAATCACGTCATTCAAGTATTTATTTCGTGGCTTTTAGAATATCTCTTTTCTGAATTTTTACCTCAGAAATTAGCGGATATTTATGTGGCGTCGTTAATTACTTATGTACAATTCTTGATCTTTCTTTATTGTAAGTCAGCTTTGATTGGAATGTTTCATGCAAAAAATAAAGAGATATTTAACTTTCAATATTTCGTGACAAATATTCAGAAACATTTCAAGCAATTCAGAATTCATCCGGATCTTCTAAAACGACTAGATCGATATTTAATGTGTCATTGGAAACATTACAAAGGAATGGATGTTTTATATCCTAATCTATTGCAAAATGAACCCTATGATATATACTGGAAAGTTCATGGCAAAGTTGCTGAAAGAATAATAAGTAAATCACGAGCTTTTTTTTATGCTGATCCTGCTTTTATAAGGGAGCTCGCATACAGTGCTAAGTTCTTAATGCTTCCAAAAAGGTCTTCAGTTATTGTTTTTGGTGTTCAACCCAAAAATATTACGTGGCTGGTGCAAGTTAGTATAAAATAAACTAATTAAAAATCTTCCCAGTATTTATTCGGATTAAGAAAGAAACATGCAAAATATTTTAATAAATTTACCACTGAAAAAAATTGCAACAATTTTTATTAATAAGAAATTGTTTAATAATAATCAATGCATAAATCCCGTATGCACTATAATGATCTTATATATTTAAGTAGCGAACACATTGTAATTTTTATTGGTAGTTAAAATTATTTAATTTTTTTACATAAGAGGAGACAAAAAAGTGGCTCACTTGATGGTAAGTGACCAGTGTCACCTATGAAACTCCGGGCGATTAACTCTTGCAAGCGTACCACGCTTGCAAGTTTGTAAGGAATAGTTTCTTTTCTTGAAGTTCTATAAATCGAATTAGGTAGCAGGAAAAAATGCTTTCGATGGTGATTGTTAGTCATACCTGATTTGTAGAACCACGCTATAAGTAACAGAGCCACACTGCAGGTATGTTATGGTTATAGCACGAACAAGTTGGTTTGACCGAGGAAGCGTCAAAAAGGAAGGAACACACACGCTCTCACGGAATATCAGCTTAACGCTGCTGTAGCAAGTGTAGAGAACCGCAGACATTTTTTACTGGCAATGAGGCATTTCATCTTAGTACGCAGGGATGATAACGTATCTGCATTTTGGTTCTTAATAGAAAATTGACTTGGTGTCTTTGGGCCACAGCATCCACTTATTAGAAACCGCTACTTAGAAAACGTCTAGTGGTGGATTAATACGTTTAAAAAAATATGGTAACAGCCATTTTTTACGAGTGAATCAAATAAGTGCATTACCACTTTTTATTGTATTATCCTTCTTCTAATACTGATAAAAAATCATTTATTTTTAATTTAAGTATTATTTTGAATATTATAGATACATTTCCGTTCATTTATTTCTGAAAAATAATTTCATTTAAATATTTAATATGTTTCTAATATAGGGCTGTATTAAATGCGAATATCATAATGAAAAAGGTGAATTAATTAAAGAATTCTACAAACCTGGTGATATACTAGCATTTACTTCGGCATTTCTTGGAAAACCATCGCTAAAAACTTACAGTGCTAACACTGATTGCGAGGTAACTTAAATTGTTTATCTGTAACAATCCTTTCTTATACATATAACCAACTAAAATTTGATGCGGTAAAATTGCATCTTAGATTCTATTTATCAATATAACCGAGTTCTTCAATATTATGAGACGTTACCCAGGCGAGCACGCTCGTTACGAGGATTGTTCAAATGAATTTAAATCAGGATTTGAGAAAATCATTCAGAATCATGTGAAGAAACATAAAGATGTAAGTGTATCATAAAAGTTTATTAAAAATGAAATAAAAACTATATAGTTTTCTTCATAATCATAATTACAGCCTATTACAAGAACTGAACAGAGACTTCACAGTAGGCAATTGGTCTCAAAGGTGGGAGTTGCAACGCTGGGCAGGGTTGGAACCACAGTTTTTTGTTCTAATTTTTATTAGAGTTTTTTTGTTTTCTTCTTTCGCCTCTTACGACACCCACTGGACGATATGGGGTGGTGGATATTCTTCGTACTCAGTGTAAACTTAAAAGGCATCCGCTACGCTTTATAGCGTTATAGTACTGTTTGATAATGACACAAGCAGGTGATATTAAAAAAATATAAAAAGAAACCAAATGAATTATGAAGAAACTGTATATGAATGTAGATCTTAAGTGTGTTTTTAATAGACTTCTTGCCTTAACTTTTAGTTATAGTTCGGCCGTTCAGAGAATGCGTTCCTGACACCTATCAATTAGTCACGACTAGTGATGGGCACAACATAACACTGAGTTCGTTACCGTTCCTCCAAAATGAACCGCCGCGTTATTTTTAAGATTATTTTCGTTTTAAATTGGTGGAATCATTTAAAATTTATATTTTGGTAATTTAAGTGGGAACCAAAAAGGGTAATATTAATATAATAAAATTGTTTTATTTATTATTTGTTACAAAGTTACAATCTGTATTTCTATGCAATAAAGTACATTGAATTGAATGTGCGTACAGAATATTAATCAGACTCCGATTCGCTTGAGGAGGTGGTGTCTTCATCATCATCTTCGCCTACATGTATAATTATATTATTATCAATAACAGAATCAATCCTGATATCTCGGTCAAAATGTTCCACAATCAGGTTTTTAGTCTTCTCAACAACCTTTGCCCAGTCATCTCTTATGACTTCCCCGCAGGCTTCTTTTCATAGGGTCATCTTTTTCGTGCTGAATGGCGGGGAAGTATTGTGGCGGGCGGCGTAACCTTTTATTTGAGCCCAGATTAGCTCAATCGCGTTATATTGGCAATGATACGGTGGAATTTTTAGAACGCGATGACCGTACTCCAGAGCCAGTTCATCGATTTCGTATCGCACATTTGCCGCTTTATTTTCTTTAACTAATTTAATTAGCTCTGGTTTTAGCATCTGCATATTTGCGTCAATGCCTTTTGCTTGTAACCAAGCCACCATTTCTTCTTTTTTACTAGCTTGGGTAGGTGGTTTCTGTGTTTGAACTGGATAGGAGGCGTTATCCATGAATATTACAGAAGGCTCTGGTAGGCTGGGCAAAAGCACGGTCTGGAACCACTCTTTAAATGCAGTGGCATTCATTTCCTCGTGGTAGTCATTTATGGTTTTTGATTGAAATACCAGTAACGCGTTCTTCACAAAGCCGTATTTTGCAGAACCTGCGTGGCATATTATCAGACGGGCCCCCTTACCCATTGGTACTTTCGCGCGTTACTTTCGCGTTCGGTTTGGTCGTAGTTTTATTTTTATATTTAATAAAAGTTATCTTATAGTCCATTCTTTTCAAATTCTTAAAAAGAAAAACAAAACGTATTATTTTATAAAGTATAACTGTATAAGAACAGATTATGATACTGTTATTGCCTGTTATTGTTAACAGCACTACAAATATAAAGCGCTGACATAACCTTGTAATAGCGCAGTATAGATTTAGAAAAATATTGTTTACCAAGTTATTTGACACTCAGTTTGGCACAAAATTATAATATTCATTGATTATTAATATAATAATGTTGTTTTAATGCTCATAAATTGTTAAAACGGTAAACAACCAGCAAAAATATTTTTATCGTAACTGCAACGCCATTACCAAGTTTCGTCGTCAGTTAAATCGCGACGTGTCAGGAACGCATTCTCTGAACGGCCGAACTATCGGCAATTTATCTTTCTTGTTTATTTATTTTCAGTACCAGAAAAAGCTTCGTCAGCGAATTTTTCATTCTAGATTTTCAGTGGTGGACAGACGGCGCATACATCGTTTAGCAAGAGGCGTTCAATATAAAACAACTATAATTATTGCACCTGATTCGATGTTAGCATTTTTGATAATCTATATTAGATTGTACAATCAGTGTGTGTTAACAGTGATGACATATGAATGTGACGTGGTTTTTCACTGCTGTCCGTATGAGAAAGCTCAAGGTTGCTCAACAAATCTTGGAGATGGCTATGCTCGGAGTTTTTCTGCGGTATTGTCTTAGAAATAAGAATAGCTGCAGTAGAACTAAAGAAACCGGCAAAGCCCAGCAGAACCTATAGCTGGACGAACAGACAACCTATGGGGAAGAAATATTCTTGAGTGTCACCCTCGTACCGGTAAGCAAAGTGTAGGTAGGATTCAACTAGATGGAGTACCAACCTAGTAAGAGATGCAGGAAGTCGATGGATGCCGGTGACTCAGGACGGTGGTTTGTGAAATTTCTTGGGGGAGGCCTATCTTCAGCAGTAGACTTGTGAAGTATTAAATGAAACTAATTTTGCGGAACTTATCGCGTTTAATTTTGACTTCTTTAAATTTTCAACGTTTGTGGTACCTTACAGCACCCATGTTCACGGGGGGACTAAGGTGTTTGATGCCCCAATGTTATTGATAGCTCGGCTACCTTCAGTTTTAAAATATTAATTTTTGCTCAGATCTACGCAGATTGAGCTAAGAGGGAGATACAGGTGAGCCCATCGCCACACCATTTACTTGCCTGTAGAACTCTCCTTTCATAATAGATAGCCAGATGTGAAGCAGTGTTGGGTAATAGTGCATATTCTGAAGGCATTTTTTTATAGAATAAGGTGACAAATGAGTACACAGTCCACCTGATGGTAATTGGATGCTGTGGCCCATAGACCTCTTCAATGATCAAAATTCAAAACGCAGATGCGTTGTCACCCCTGAGGACTAAAAGATGGAATGTCTGGTTTCCAGTAAACAAGGATATCCTGATCTCTACAATCACCATACGAATACTGTAGTATTAAGCTGCTATTTTACGCTGGTATTCTGTGAGAGCGTGGTCCTTCCCCGGTCGAGCCGACCCATTCGTGCTGCAACCATAATAAAGCTGCAGCGTGGCTCTATCACATATAAAATGCATGTAGTTTTCTTCTAGCTTTCTAGTTATAGTTGAGATGCAGTCTTTATTTCAGTCAGGATTCGAAGCGACAGTCTAATGACAGGGGGTGGACCGCAAATTTGAAAGGACCTGGGTTTTCGATCACTGTCGTGAACCACTATGAACACAAGCATTTTAAGCTTACTAAGAGTGGTTAAAGGGAATATTAGTAATGTTAATAGTATTATTAGTATTTAAAAAAATTGGTATGCAAGTAAATAATGACAGAAAATCAAAACGCGAGGTACTTACGCAACTTCAATACAGTTCGTATTGAAGGACCGAACGAATACGAATCGTCTCGCACGCAGACTCAACGCCTCTCAGCCCCCCTAAAAAGCCGGTTTCCGAAAAGGCTTCTCCATAGACCACATACATAGCCTTTAGGAAAATTGTACAGAAGACCAAGGTGTACAATCTGCCACTTTGTCTTGCGTATGGCACTATGAGGGATGTCATGAAGCACCGATACTCCGAAAAGTCTGTAGTCTGCGAACATGTTCAAGATCGTCCCACTATTATGTTAGATTTTATAGACCACAAATCCTCGCAAAAGTACATCAATGCCTACGAAGGATGATTCGTGAGGCTATAGAAATTAAAAATTACGTTCTATTTTCAATAGAGGTATGGGTGCTGTCAAGTGCTTGAGATCGTATAATTAATAAAAGTCTCCCCGTGATCATGGGCATCCGAAACGTAGGGAATTTAGAAAAGTCAAAATTGAACGCAGTAAAATCTGTAAAATTGATTACGTTTAATGTGTAGTGTTCACGTATATATAGGAATTTATTTTGTGAAGTATTTACTAGCGATACTCGATTATTTTATAAAGTCTGTGTAAGATAAGGTTGGTAACATTTTTATTAAAAACGATTATAAGATAGACTTAAACTAGTCTAGACAATCGACAACATAATAAAAAGGATACATATTATTAGATTACTTTACGATATGATTTTGCCTGGTAGGTTATAAAACTAGTGACTACTAATTCTCTTTAGTAATAATAGTTCTTGTAACAAATGCAACCTCGAGATTTTATACAAACAGATAGTCTTCTGGATAGATGCCCAACTTTACTTTAGAACATTTCTCATCACATTAGTCTGTGATTTTTTTGACCAGAGTTGGTTTTCGCAACTCCATCTCTAAGCAAGTATATTGCGTGTGGGGAGGAATTAAATAAGAGTACGCATCAGCCTTAGAACATTCCTAATATAAAGACACTAGATTTTCCGGGCATTTCTTTTATTCTTCTGTTACGTTACATATGAGACAAGATGCGTGATAAATCTTTCATATCGATAGTACACAACCAAAAACAAAACTTGATTTAGTCCAAATTAAAGTGAGCTTACATATTGACCTTGTAGTATCGTAAGAGTTGACACATGGAAACAATGCAGAATATGGGTTACTAACCCGCTTTCATGGCATGCAAGCATAGCAACTGTGTCAAATATGAGATAATCTATGGAGGAGGCGCGTGTTCACAAAGGTTACATACTAACGGTACATATTTGTCTAACAGATTCATGCGCTATTGGATGCTTCTAAGAGTGGTGATTGTATGTGTATCAATAATTACTGCAGCATTACAAGGTACTTGCTTATGTTACTTAAAATATATAATATTGAAATTATTTTAAGGCAATTTTTTTTGATCGGTACGGACATAGCGTAACGGCCGGTAAAACCTCAAGCGGAGTGTTGGGCGCCCTCAACTCCATTATATATACATAGCAGCCAACGCTCCGTCTGTATTTCGGAGCTGTTCTATATGAAGTGCAGTAACTTCGAACTTCTGGTCAGACCGGAGGTCGATGGTGCAGTCTAGTTGCCGACCAATGTGCTAGTTTCAGAAATTGCTTTGTAGTCTGCGGCGAGGCAAAAACATGAAAAGTGATCTGCGAGACTGCCATGAATGCTCAGAGCCGTGCCAAGCACTGTTGAGTGAGTAGCTTGAAGGAACAGGAAGATTTAATCCAGTGCCGCGATGAACCCTGTAGAGCTAGATGGCTTGCAGGATCTGAAAACTGCAACAGCAGGAGCGCTTGAAGTTGAAGTATCCAAAGGTTGTGGGTTGCGTATTCAGATCATGTAGGGTGGTCACCAGTTTAATCGTGGGAGGAAAAGGGGAGAGAAGCTGGGCAAGATGTTTTAACCCGGGGAGCGGCCAACGCTCCCAGTGGTCGGCCGGAGCTGTTCTATATATAGTGCGGTAGTTTCGAAACTTTGATAGCTTGATTTGGGTTTCAGTGCGTTTAGCTTGTGGCTCGACAACAGTACCGCACATATGTATGTATATGCATGTAGAAAGTCAATTGATGTAGTTGCAATCTTGTTTAGTGGCATTCCTTGAGGGATGTTTGTTTTATCGTGTGGACTTGTGAAAGCTGTAATGATAATGAAGATAATGATTTTAGCCATTGTTTCTTATATAAATCCATAGACAAGTAAAGGCTGACCTAATATTGCTATCGCGTTAACTTTTTTGAATTTATTTCAGCGCTTACTAATCAAAAGGTATAGTCAAATTAACAAAAAACTTAAAACTAATTTTAATTTTCCAAAAAAAAAAACAAAAAACTGATCGCTAATATTATCTCGTGGAGATGCCATTGCAAAATAAAAAGTTTGATGATTTTGTTCTGTGTAAATCTGGACTAGAAGAAGGCCAGTCTTCATGTCCGATAAATTCAACTCCATGGACGGTCAACCAGTTTTGCATGCACCAGCTCTGCACCAGCTCATAGGGAACTCGTGCCCTATGGTCCTAGATCTTCATTGATCATTCTTTTGACCGTGGTCTGCTTAGGCCTATCTGACGAGCTAAGATTTTTTGTTTACAAACGGGATTTCGTTGGCGAGTGTATTAACTGTACGAGGTCGGCCGGTCCTCTTATGATCTTCGAAGCTTGAATCTTCAGTGAATCGTTTGATAGTGCGATAAACGAATTGTAGGGTTATTTTAAATTTTTGTAGGATATTGAAAATCTCTTTTGGTGCGTAACCACAACGTTGCAACACGATAACCGCTACTCTATCTTCATTTTTCGACCACTCCATATTTGAAAATGAATGAAAATGAATGTCTTTTTTATTTTCGGCAAGCGCAAACGTTATATTTTTAAAATTGATGAAGTTCATCTATCCAATATTCAAAAGTTTTAAATATTAAGGTTTTGACGGAACTTATAACCCGACCGAGTATTATAACCAATTACATTAATTAAAGACAACATATTCATTCTTTTCGTTCCCGCTTCAGACATTCAGGCAATATTACCGTTCATTCGTCCACATACAGGTCGCACTCAGGACTTATGAGATATTTTTGTTATGACGCTTATCATCATATCTGGTTTATCGGTGTTTGCCGTTACCACAAAGTTAGACTGGCTCTAGAGAGCCCTTAGATAATTAGATTGTTACTATTTAATATAATTTCATTGCATATATTGAATTTTCCATACCAGCGCGTTAAAGTTCACCGCTGGACATATTGGGCCTTTCCAAAAATTGTTAATATCTAGGAAGAGTTTCTTATATTCACCACGTTGTTGTTCAGGCTCAATTAACCCTGCTCTCAGTCCATTCGTTGTAGATTCGTGATTATTGGATGGTTTTTCGCAATAACTCGGTCATCAGAATTTTGATTTAGAGATGCCAATCATAAGGGTACACGTGTATGCAAAGTTGGCGTTGGAAGAGAAAGTCAATTTCACCTTACACCCAACGCTTAGAGTTTATAATTTTAGTTTAGTGCTTTTCAATTTTTTTGTTTACTTAAATTTTTATTGAAGATAATGATTGTTGTAAACTATAAAATAATTTTATTTGTCTAGAAATTTATGATTTTAATTTAAAATGATTTGTTCTTTATTTTATTTAACCCAGGTGGAAGTGGTGCATACTGGAGATGGCCACTAATGATAATAAGTTCATTTTGTGACTGTGTAACTATTGTCGATATAGTGATAAAGATGTTCGTAAGTTAAAAGAATTATATTTATTAAATATTTCAAGCTAAACCTAAAAAATAGGTGGTATATTTAATCATCTCATTTATGCAAGGCATAAAATATCGGCGACGGCAGCAGTGTCCAAGGTGTGCCGTATCAGGTGAGCCACGTGCTCGTTTGCCCCTCTATAAAAAATACCAATCGTGACGATTAATGCAAATCCTTCTTACAACGAGAGAGGGCTAGGTCCGGCCCAGGCCGTGCTCACTATGACCTGAAGTAGAAGAATTACTAAGATATTGAATCTAACCTAGTTTTATTACAAAAAAATGTAATCTTATACGTTGACTTATATTAACTTATTATTTTATTTATTCAGATGCCCTATTACGATAAACGAGGCCTGCTTATTAAGGATAAAAGAGCCTGTATAAAACACTACCTCGTCCGAGGCTTTTTAATGGACGTAATAGGAGTGGCGCCATTTTACGAATTATTCATGCTATATTTGAGTAAAGATATTGAAGACAACGATGCTCTACTCATTAATACACTAAGAAAATTTGCTCATTTGTATTTAGTGATGGGATACTTTGATTATTTGGCCGATACGCCGACACTTAACATGGCTTATCTTATGGTTAGTATTACCTGTGTCTTTATATATTAAATTAGCAAACCTCAAAAATAGTGTTATATTTATGTTATTATTCTAAAATATTTCTGGATTTTTTTTTGTAAAATAATCAGGTTTAGTTTTCAATAAATTTAGAAATAATATGATTAAACTTTAAAAGTTGCGTGTTAGAGACGCTATCAGTGAATTATACCTTTTTACAAATGAATCATATAAAACCAGTGTAAAATAACACTACGTGTATAATGCTGCTGTTTCGTATAACGAGTAACAAGGACCGCGGGAGACGTTTTATACGAGTATGTATAGTACGAGGTGCACAGGCACATCATATTACGTTGGGGTACACCAACCACATAAGTGAAAAGTCCATGTTATGAGCTGGCCAGTGATTCATTAATGTACATTTTCTAACTACCACTAAAATGAAACAAACGCAATTAATAATTCATTTTTTTGTTCATGTGGTATTTTTAATGTTTTGTGAAAGAAGCTATCAGGACTGAAAATACCAGTATCACTGCGACTATTGTGATTGCTGCTATGGCTATAATTCACTGCTAAGCCCTGTCTTCAATGAATAGAAGGAGTTGCTTAGCTATGAGAAATTTCACTTCTTCTGGGCGAAGTACGTAGTATCCCAGATGAGTGTTACCTTTGCGCATTAAGAGTATACAATTTAAATTAGTTAAATGTAGTAAATCTAAGTTAAAGAACAGAACCGGCACACACTTGAGTTAGTTAGTCCCAGGATGAACACGTGCTTTTTAAGACAACAGTGTCAAGTCAGGGCTATTAGGCCAGGCTATTATGGCGAGGATACGCAGTTTATTCTTCCCTAATCCCAGAGCTTCTAAAGCGAATTTACGATATTTTAATATTTCATAAGACCGGATTAATGTTTTAGAATGTATTTGGCCTAGTTAATCAGACCAGATCTTAAATGATTTACTGTGATAAAGAGTTTCAAGGGTTTATCGGTACCAGACTTTTTAAGGTTCCACAGAATCACTCGAGTCCAAAATCTGTATCTCTTGAGCCCTCTCGTGCGAGCTTGTCGGCAATTTCAATGCCTACAATACCCGCATGAATCGGAAGTCATCTCAATACGACCCTGTTGTTACACTCTAAAACGTTCAGATGGTTCACGCAATCTCCAACTAGCTTCGAGTTTACTAAGTTTGATCTCAGCGCTAGCAGTGCTGCTAGACTATCAGAGCTTATATAGATAATATGGTTGACGTAGTGTTTTTACAGATTAATTTCGGCACACTGAAGTATGACGAAAATTTCTCCCTTGGAGATAGAGGTTATTCTACCCAAATTCATATTAAGTTTAATTTAGGGCGTTTCCCATAAATTTCGAAACTTACGTCGAATCACATGTTTGATTTCCGCTTTAGAGTTTTATATATATATGTATATATATATATATATATATTATATATATATATATATATATATATATATATATATATATATAACAATCGGACTTCATCAAAATTATCGGATATGAAATTAAACCCGTAGTCAACATAGCCATAATGCCTTTGGCTGCTAACATGGTATTCCGTCAATTGCTTAATTTTCATTTCAACCATGACGAAGGTACACTAAATTTTATATCAGGGTTACTCTCCCATCTCAATTTTAATGCTGTCAGCGCTACCCTGGTCGGCCATCAATGGTACTGTACCACTTAGTCAGTCCGTGGTACATGCAGACATGTTCCAAAACTTTTACTTACATATCGAGCAACATGCTTTTGTTGAATATTAAGTGTTAGGGCGAAATATTTTAACTCTGAAGAATATTTAGTTCTGGGCAGTTTTCCAATGTACTTTTAAGTTTCTATTAATTGTCTCTTTAAATATTCGCTTTCTTTAATTCCTATCTTTTCTATGACCGTTTTTTTTATTTATCAAAGATCAGCGAATCTAGTACTTCTTGCAAACTTGTATCTTTGATTACCGTTATAAAATAGACGAGGTTGTCACTAAGATCAGCCTAAAATAAATATTTTTTTTAATTTTATTTAAAATTTTATTCATTTATATTTATTGTACTAATAATTAAGTTGAGATATTTATTTTTGTTTAACAAAATCACTTTATTGTAATAATATAAATGTCGATTTTAAAACTATTTTTTTGTGATGATGGCTTGTTATTTAAAACATAAGTCCTCCACTTTTTGTTTTTGGTACTTAGAGCCTTTTTATTTCTGGTATCCATGTTTAACCATGCCAAATTACAGCTCTTTAGAATACCAATAGTCTCTGCACTAAGTCGAGGACAAACTGACAGACTGTTGAACTTGGTGAAATTATAGGAGTTCCTTGTTGTGCTACTAAGGAACCCTAAAACAAACTAGCTAAGCTGAAATACTAAAAGGATGATTTTAATTTTTCGAGTTTTTCTCTTTTTCTTAGAGAAACAATCGATATAAAATATCGATATGGTGGCATCGCAATTAATTTGTCTGTCTTGCACTCATATCTTTATCTATGTTGATGTATTTGAACTACATGTTTGTGTAAAATGTAATAGTGTTGGAGATTTAGATTTGTGTGTGCCATAATGACACAAAATTTGTCATGAATGGTCTAAGGTGTTTCGTTAATTGAGTCGAGCATGGATCTCAATCTATAGGAAAGCAAGCTCAGATCGCCCTGTGCGTTAATTTTATACAAATTAACCCTCGTCTTCTCGTTTTAATAAAGATTAAAGGGCTTTAGGCATATAAGTGCAGTGTTGATCGCATCGATCCAGTTGCCATTAAAGAGACAGTCCTTTGTAGATTTTTTAGTCTATGCGTAATCGTCTTTTGGTTGGAAATTGGAAATAGAGGCGTTGGAAAGAATCGGTCACACTATGCTACTGTACAGCCATAGGATCATACTATGACGCAAGCCCCCGTTGTTCCCAACCATATGAATGCACGTACCTAAAGCAATTTTAGCCTAATGACATACGCTTGAACGAATTAACCACTGGACCCGACATATAAGCGGACTTACCTATACCGGTCTTGTCAGTAACCAGGAATTCTAGCCTTGGTCGTTTGTTTTGCGTCAGTCTCAAGCACTCACTTGTCAACAAAACAACTCCCAAAAATGACTAAATGTTCAGTTAAATAGTGTAAAAACTATAGCGGCGGAAGCAGCACTATATCTTTTCACTTGTAAGTATATTATTTTATTACATTTATTGTTATTTATCATAAAATTTAATCAAATGTAAAATAAAATGTTGTATTATCCAACTATGTTAAATATAGTCAATATTTCTATGTATTGTTGACATCTGACAACCATCACAGAATACGTGGATTAAACCATTGAGAACGAAGAACTAAAACTGTGGAGTGAGTCAATTTGACATCGACTAGTGCTTGACCATGTCGAAAAATATATCGATATTTGATGACATGACCGAATTAAGGATGATGTTATTTGTACAATACAATAACACTTAAAATACTTATACGAGTATAACAGTATCCAAAAATCTGGTGTCATTAAATTTATAATAGTAATTTTTATAATTAAATAAAATATTATAAATACAAAAATTATAATTAGTATCTGTACTTAAAATATTTAAACACATAAATTACACGAATTTTCAGATTTCCTAGTGACTCTTCTCGGAAAAGAAAGTGGGTAGAAGCATTTCGTAGAGATGAAACCTGGATTCCGACGAAACACAGCGCCATATGCAGTGTACATTTCGATACTGCCTGTTTTAATACTAATGCAAAGAAACACAAAATGGCACCAATGAAAGCAGTCTCATTGCCCATAAAGACAAGGGAAAACTGATACTTCCCTCAAGTGATACCATAGTTATTTGTCAGCACTGCGAAATCGAACTTACGAAGGGTGTTCAGAATAAAAGACTAAAAAAAGATTACACAACAGACTTTCTCCTGTTGAAAGTAACAGAAACATTGCTACAAATTCCGTTGTACGAAGACATTCATTTCCATAAATTTGAAAACCAAGACGTGAATTACGTCGAAGAATTAACGAAAGCCATTGATGTTAAGTATATAAATATTAGAATTGCTTATATAAGAAAACAAGCGAATAAAACAAATTCTAAGAAACACATTTTAAGAAAGATGATACATATTAAAAGTCAATAAACCTATTTAAATAATTTAAGCTTAACAAAAAAACTGACGTTTATCATAACTAATTGAATAAAAAGTCTATAACAATGTCCTGCTTCTTTTATTTTAATTAAAATTTAAATACCGGAAGCTTACCTCACCTTTATTATCCCTTTATTTGTTTACAAGCTTATTTTACGATACGCCTTTTTTTCTCAGTCATTCATCGATATTATTTTATCGACTACGTTCAAGCACTAGAAATAGAGTAAACTTCTTCGAATTTTGTATCTATCTTTATATTAACGTAATAAAATCTTTGTGTGCGTTATTCTCCACTTGGTTGATCGAGTTTTCATACATTTGTGTTTTATGTCGGGTCCAGTGGTTAATTCGTTCAAGGACATACGTTACTAAAGTTAGAGTTATACGTTAGTTTTTGGTCGATGGATACACCCAAATAGTTAAATTCAGTGGAGAATAGAACTACTTTACCATTAAGTTCCAACCGTCTCCTTTTGGTTATAACCGTTTTATCAGCATAAACTGATAAACTATTATTCCCTACGCCAGTTATTTAAGATGTTTAGAGCTCTTTATATGATAAATGATAAAGTATTTTGGCACAAATCCTTCGCAATGACTACAAGGTTATAAGCATCACTCAGTGTATCAATCTGTCACCTTGTACAATAATTGGTAAACAAACCGCAAAAGTCCAAATAAGGGATAACAATATACCTCCTTGTGGGTAGCCTTTTGCGGTTATAACCTCAATGGTAGTTTGAAACAGCGCCATTATTGCCCTTCTGTTTGAGAGCATAGACTTCACCCACCTGATGATCATGGGTCAACATTTTTGATGTCAGGCCCCCGAACCAACAGTG